TGGGATATTTTGGTGCATTAATTGAGCTCTTCCTCCTCCTAAATCAGATCATCATTTGGCCAAGGAGAGATCAAGAGAGAAAAGAGTGAGCTTGAAGGGAAATCAAGAGAAAAGCAAGCTACTTTGATCTTCCAACTAAGATTCAAGCTTCGTAAGTTGTTCTAAGATGATTTCTTGCTTGTTTACTTAAGTTGTATGATTGAAAATCATAGTTTCTCTTCTCTTTTGATGCTGGCCAAAACATATATATTGTAGAGGAGGAAGTTTTATTGGCAAATCTTGTTAGAACACCTTAAATCATGATGTTTTCAAGTGGTCTAAGATGTTGTTGGAAGTTTTTCATGGTGGGTTTGTTAAAAGGACCTTTCGACCACTTTCAAAACAAAACCTTAGGAATTGTTTTTCAAAGTTTTGAGGCTTCCATTATGTTTAAAATGGAAAATGGTGTAGGATAAACTTAAAGAGCAAGTGTTGGAAGCATTAAAACCAAAGTTGCAATTTTTGGATTTTGAACCCTAATGGTTCGGTCAGTTCAAAACTGAAAGAAGGAATTTTATTTTGTTGAATCCAAGTAGATATTTGGAATCTACATGAAAAATTATGTAGGAATGAGTGAAGAGGAAATTTTTAGGGTTTAAGGAAACCAACTGTAAAATTTAAAAAACAAAGGTGGAAGCTTTAAAGGACAAAAGTTGTCCTTGAGTTATGTTATTGATTTTTATGTGGAATGGTTGATGATTCTTGCTGCCCTTTTTGTGGATTGTCATTAAGGGTGGAAACAGGCCAGGCCAGGCCAGGCTTTACTCTTAACAGGCCAGGCTTGTTTTGTAGCCTATAGACCTAAGCCTGGCTTGTGGCCTGTTACAGGCTTATCTTTTAGCCTGAGCTTGGCTTGTATAAAGGCCTGACCTGGTCTGAAACCTGTTTAAAAGCTTTTTTTTAAAAAAAAAAATTCAAATTACAATAATTTTTTTTAAAAAAAGCTAAAATAAAAAAAGTATACATAATAATTAATTTTTTAGTTTTGTCTTTTATTTAAATTTTAGTATCATAAGTACTGTTTTAAATCTTAATTACAATTTATAAGGATATTATTGAAAACTAATTCTAATTGTTTGTTAAAATTTGAGACAAAACTATGTTTAAGTACAAAAAAAATTAAGACAAATAAATAAAGAAAAAACTATTAATTTTACAATGAATAAAGAGAGTATCATAATTTAATTAATATAATACATAAGTTAATTAATCTATCATTCTTGGAACAAAAATTTTCTTTCCTATTTTATTTATATTTTTAAGATTTAAAGATCATATTATTTATTGATATTTTTATTTTAAATTATATTTTTATCTTTACCTGTCAACTAAACATCAAAATCTAAGGAAGAACTAAGCTATTAACAATATATTAAAATTTAAAAATAAATTAAAAGTGCACATTAACAATACCATTAACTAATATTTTTTATATATTATAATTATAAATTTCTAACAGGCTCAGGCCAGTCTAACAGGCTTAACAGGCCTTTTTAGAGAGCCTAAACCTGGCCTATTAACTTAAATAGGCCTTCAAACAGGCCTGAGCCTGTTTCTTTTGGAAAACAAGCCAGGCCAGGTCGTAAGCCCCTGACAGGCCGCCTGGCCTGTTTCTACCCTTAATTGCCATGTTAGGGTTTGGCATTTATGGAAGCAAGAAAGAAGAACAAGAAAATCAAAGAGCATTGAATTAAGGTAGTAAGATTTAATTGACCTTAATGTTGATTATTGCATTCATTGCTATGCAATTTCATGTGTTATTATGTGGTTGAACTAAATGATGATGATGATGATTGTGTAGTTATACTCCTTGCTTTATGTGCCTTGGCTATTGCATGTTAGAGTGCTACATGTATGAGGTAAGGTAGTTTCCTATTAATAACAAAAGGTTGGAATGCTTGTAACTGATGCATGTTGATGTTCTGGTTGATTGATCTTGCTACTGGGATTTCATTGAAATCTCATCCCCCATATGTAACTTAACATTTTAGAGACTGAATCATCAAAAGGGAGGCTGCAAATCCAAGGATAAATATGGTGATGAACTATGAGGAAACATTTATATTTGGTTATGTATAAGCATGTATGGTTGGAGCTATAATCCCTAAGCAGGATGCCAAATTAGAGCCATATTTTATTAAGTTACCGAATGATTTTCTATATGAAATTTGGTATGCTTAAAATTCACGTCATGAGCTTCAAATCGATAGGCAGCACATTAAAAATCGCCAACTACACGATTTTTAATGATTTTTCAAAGTTAAGATTTAGAATATAGAAAAATGATTTTTGCCAAATGGACAGAGGTGACTTTCACAAAAACTTGACACTTTTTCAAATGGAATTGGTTCATAAGATTATTTTTCATTGAAAGAGCATTCAAATAGATTTATATATAATTTTGAACCACTCTATTTTGATTTTTCTAGATTAAGTTATGAATTTTCAAAGTTGAGCTAGAAAACTGGATTTTTACCCGCTGAACAGTAAAAATCCGAAAATCAGTGTTTTCATGGATTTTTGAGCCCAAAGCCATCCAAGGTGGTCTAAAATAGTTTTAATTAAACCCTAAGTGGATTCGATAGTAAGGTGTGACAATGTTCAATTAAATTATATTATTTTAATATGACCGATTTGACTCCGAGTTGACCTCGGTGTGATCCATTGACCTATAAGCCACTATCTCAACCAATTTAGTGTTCGGTACAGTTTTTTGTTCCTTGCTTAGCATGGTCTTTGCCTAGTGATAGGTGATCATGTTTCATTTTAACAGTCACTTAGCTAAAGACATATATTTGAAAATCTGTAGTAGCGAGTCTTAGACCCTCCTTTATCATTTTTATCCTGACAGTCCTATCATTGTATTTAACTTTACCATCAACATTTTCAACAAAGTTCCCACCTACTTAAAAATAACACATAAATCACTTTGAAGATGTTGACTTAATGTTAGATGTCATCAAAGCTTGCTAACCTGTAGCAAAAGGTAAGCACAAATCAAAGTTCTAATTTCCCAACAGTCAATTTTCATCACCTTCCAAAATACCCAAAACACACACACACACACACATCCTTTATTGATAACTTTAATATTAGGTTTCACAATTTGACTATTGACGTTATGCTTATTGTTTGCTCTCAAACTTCATAGCCACATAATCACTTGCCATCATTTTTCGATTTTCCATACACTGTTCTTTGATTCCCATCCAATTCTCAATCTAAACCCTCTTTACTAACAAACACATTCCCATCTCACCATAGAGAGAAGCTAAAAGAATAAACAACCTAAATCCCACCATCAGCGTCTACTCAATTTTGTAATGCCCCACGTTAATCTCTCTCCTAGTACAAACTTACTTACACACCCAAATGAACAATGTCTGCAACATTTTAATGGGTGGAGGAGTAAGATAATAGCATTTCGAAACAAAAATTAGATTTTTTTTTTTTTAGCTTTTGACATTGCTCCAAGCTTTCTCTCTTTCCTCTACGTGCCAATACTTTGTGAAAACCTTTAAATGTTTTTTTTTCCCCTCACTTCAGGAGCATTTTAATCTTTCCACCAAAAATTGCAAACCCGGTATTCATACCTCAAACCTATTTGATGATTTCATTTATTTGCAAGGACTTTTGTCTTTTTGAATTTTAATAGGTATTTTCTGGTTATTTTCCCTGATAGTAATAGTAGTATTTGTTTATGATAGTAGTATTTCTTTATTAATTTATTAGTTGATAGTTGATTAGTTGAGTGAGATCAATTAATTTAAATATGGACTAAACTTAGGTCAAGTTAGTTAGATTCATTATGTCCAGGTGTCCAATGAGCTTTTGCCACGTGTATTAGCTTTTACTTAACCTCAAACCCACTGTTAAAACGCTGTTAATTCCTTTCTTCTTCTATTCTATTTTTCTTCAACGATCCAATCTCAACTTCTTCATATTCAGTCTTCATCATGTTCACTATTCCTCAATGTATCAGCAACCAACAATTATCTTCCCTAATTCAATTCACTCCTACTCGTCTCCTGCAAATTCCCCATGAAATCGACCTAAATTTCCAATCTTCTTGTGCCGGTATTCCAACACAGGCGCATTCACGCTGTGTCCTTGAAGCTTTCTGGAACTAAGAATTCTCTTTTTGGTTCAGTAAATTACTAGACGAAGAAGATAATCAAAGATGTGTGTTGGTATGACGGTATTGTATCTGCATAGAGAAGCCGGAGTGGAAGAATCATCGTCACTGGTGGTGGCAGCAAGTTAGCTACTCCGATGGTGATCAGAGAAGGTGGAGGAAGAGGATAGATGATGGAGAACAATTGAGGGCAGTAGAAAGCTGTAGATTTGTTGAGAACAATCTTGAAGAATAACATCAATAGGTGCCTGTGAATTATATGGGATCTTGGGGGCAGAAGAATACGTATCTGAAAACAATCATCAGCTTTTAGGAAAAACTCTTCCAAAACTAAAAGTGGTTTGACCGTGAATTAGGGGTTAAATGAAAATTAGTACAGGTGGCAGAAGCTTATTAGATACTGGACATAATGGACCTAATTAACTTGATCTAAGTTTTATCCTTTAAATATAACACCTCTGTTGTTTTTCATAAGAAACAATAACTAAAATTACGCCGTTTAAATGGTTAGTTAAATTTAGTTAAAAATAATAAATGTATAAGATATATATTCCAATTATATCCTTGTTTGCTGCTGGTAGAAAAAATTATACCTTTATTTATAAAAAGGTTGTATAAAATAATGAGTAAACATTTATTTATTTAATGGGGTAAAAATATAAAGATTAATTTAAAATTTCTGTTAAAAAATTTTGCAACGTACATTGCTACTTAACCGGGGTTATTACTAATTATCGGCAATTCTGAGTACTCCAATTGCTGAACAAACTGGTCAAGAAAGTAATTGCCGAGCAAATCCTCTATTTGACCCAAACGGTAGAAACAAAAATACCCCAACTTGCTGCGGGCGAACATTCCGGAGATTTGGTCCGCCGTGACACCGGTGTTCTTGTCGTCTGCTTTCTCTTTCCTTCGCTTCGCTTCTGTCGTCTTCACCAAAGAAAGATTCTCGCAATATGAATCGCGTTATGTAGCCACCGGAGCTCGAAGATGTCACATCAACAAAGCACTGCCACTAGCAGCAACATTCCAGTAAGCGAAGTGTTCTGGACTCTGGTTGATAAAGCTGACAAGAAGTTCTCTAAGATCAGGGATTTACCTTATTACCAGCGTACCAGGTTCTGTTCAATGTCAATTTGCTGCCATTCTTCTTTCTCGTATGACCTTTCTTTTGCTTACTTCCGGGCAAAATTCACACTAGGCAAAATTTCTAATTTGTCTTTATCACTGGAGAACTTTTATTATCGGACTGAATTAATTTTCTAATTTGTTACACGAATCAGTTGAAAATTAGTATTGCGAAACTCTGGGATATTAAAAAGTATATTCCTTTGTCAGTGGTTTCTCTCTGGATTACCAGAAGATTGTGTTGTTGTTGTTTTTCTTTTTTTTTTTTTTTTTTTTTTGCTTTTTCAAAAAACATGCTTAACTTGCCAGCTTTTCTTTTTTGTTCTGTTATTAGAAGTTTTGGCATCGTAAATTTGAGAACTAAACCATAAGTTAACGATATATAGTCATTCCGTTATTGTTATTTGATTGGGATGAAATATCAACGCTGTTCAATGCCTACCTATAACTTGATGATCAAAGGCAAATATCTTTGATAATAGATAGGGAGCCGCCGGGTACGAGTCTTCATGTGTGGTCATCTGTGAGAGGCTTAACATTTCTTAGTGGCTTTGTTTTTAGGTATGACACGTACTTTTATAAGGTCTTTAAGGTTTACACACAGTTGTGGAAGTTTCAACAGGAGAATCGACAGAAGCTGGTTGAATCTGGGCTTAAGAGATGGGAGATCGGTGAAATTGCATCTCGCATTGGGCAACTATATTTTGGGCAGTACATGCGAACAAGTGATGGGACTTATCTATCTGAGTCATATATATTCTATGAAGCCATATTGACTCGGGAGTACTTTAAGGAGGGATTATTTCAGGATGTGAATATAGCGAACAAACAGTTGAGGTTTCTAGCTAGGTTCCTGACGGTTTGTTTGGTTTCAAACCGGAGAGAAATGGTGCAGCAGTTGGTTAATCAGATTAAATTGTTAGCTGATGAATGTAGGCGGGCGTTCCAGGTTTGTAAAAGTCTAACGTGGTCATACATTTCTGTGTAACTCAATGGATCATTGATATATGTTTCTCATCTTTGATTTGTCATTGTCATCTTTTACAAAAGATCAGCTTCTTTATCTTAAATATATTTGTACATCACTACACTGCTGTCAGCAGGACGTTCATCACAAAAGTAATTACCGTATATGATGATAAATTTGGTACCATATCAGAAATTTGCATCTGCTGTTCTGTTAAATGCAGTGCCTTTTTTACAAGTTCCTGTTGAAATATGTTGATTGTCATTCTTCTCTTTGAATCTAAAGTGTTGCTATCTAAATTGACGTAATATTCTACTAAGATGCATTTATATCTTGGAGGTAGATTGTTTGGATATGTAAGGTGATTTATTAACTTGATGAGTCAAAGGACATCTAGTTATGCTAAACACAACAGAATAATGTAGAAGATGATGGCCTAAAGCTGGATTTTATGCCAGAGTCCATACCTGTCTTACACCGTATAGCTAACATATGCTTACCAAAATGCTAAAAGCTGTGGCAAATATGCCCAATTTCATTACCATGTAAATAAAAGTACTATTCATTGTATAATGTTACCTATACGTTTTCCTGTTATGTTGCTTCCTCTGTAGATGTCAGATTTTGCTGAAGTGCTTCTTTCACATTCTCTTATGTTTATAATTTACTCTTATATCTAACTAGGTTAATTCATTGTTAATAAACCTTCCAATTTAAGTTTCAGAGCTGCCCAAAAGTGACATATTAATGCATCTCTAGGGCATCCAAAATGCAAAACCAAGGGGCAATCAATTAGAACAATGACCTGTCGCTTTATGGAACCTGTTCTACTAGACATGCTTTTGCAGATTTATTGGAAATGGTCTTGAAACATTCTTTTTTTTTTTTTTTTCGGTGGCAGGAAAGTGACTTTAAAGAATGGAAGCTGGTGGTTCAAGAAGCAATCAGATTTTTGAAAGCTGACACAACTTTTATGAATATCAGGCCTTTGAGATATAGTCTTGTTTTGGACCCTCATCCAGATACTTTACCACATGTTGCTCCATCAATCACAAAGAGAAACCTAAAATTACAAGATGCGCTATTGAGCAGCTTCCATCATAATGAGGTAAGATATGTTAGGATTTCCTTGCCTTTTCCCCTTATAATGAAGAAGAATATTTGTGGGGAAAAAATTAATATCTGTGAAGAATGTTACAGTTAAAGAAGTAACATTTTTTCACGGCTCATAAGATGTTTTGTAAATGTTTTCTTTGATTCTCTATATCTATTTTAAAATTTTATTTCTAAGCAGGTTAAATTTTCAGAGCTCACTATTGACACATTTCGAATGCTTCAATGTTTGGAGTGGGAACCTAGTGGCTCCTTCTACCAGTCTAATTCAAAACTTAGTCAGAATGGGGCTTCTGGGTCCAGTCGCATTGGTTTTTCACAGGATATTGTTGATCCTACATTACCAGCTAACCCACGGAAAGCTGTGTTATACCGTCCTTCACTGACAAACTATATGGCAGTAAGTATGAAATTGTGCTTGGTTTTAAGACTTTATTCTCCAATTTTGTAACTCTCAGATTCTTTTTTGTTTTCAATGAGAAGACACATGTAATGGTTATGAATTGTTCTGCTTTGCAATTGACATAAAGATTGCTTTATATCAGTGTGTTCATGATTATCTCCTCTTTGCTTCGTTTCTCAAGTAATCAAAATTGAAGATTGTTTTGCTTCTTATGGTCAGGTTCTAGCCACAATTTGTGAGGAACTTCCTTCTGATGGCATTCTCTTAATATATTTGTCAGCTTCAGGTTATTATGCTTTTTATTGCTCAGCTGGTGACTTTTCTTTGGCATCCATGCGACAGTTTTTTTTTTTTTTTTTAATAAATATTTTCAATTGTCAGCACATGTTTCATATTGTTCTGTGCAGCTTTATTTTTATTCTTTAATACCTCGCCACATATTTTAATATGGTTTAAAAATTAAAAAGATGAGTACAATCTTTGACAAACTTTTAAGTTATCATCTCTCCTATACCGGAATAATATCTAGTTTTGAGATCAGTCTAACCGCTAAAGCTTTTAAGATTATTTGTTCCTTGCGTGATATTAGAGTCTTTCTTAGCAGGAGAATACAAGTTTAGTTTATGCAACTATATTCTCACACTCTAGTTAAACTTTCAATCCATGATTTGGGTGGATCTTTGCTCTGTATATGCTTCAAGATTAATGGGTTTTTGCTTTTGGGTGCATGTGACATTTATACATCAAACTTATTCTTAGTTCTTCTCCAAATAGCTTAATTGGTTCAGAAAATAATCGATTAGTGTTTAGTAGCTTCAAAATTGGGGATTCTAAGGTGAAGAAAAAGGTAGAAAAATTGTGGACTAAAGGTTCTTGATAGTCTGTTTTGATGCAGGGACATAGGTGTGTTAGTAGTGTCCAAAAAATGGTACAATCCAGGGATACTGCGATTTCTTTAAAAAGGTTAGGTGGAGTATGACAGAACATGGGTAAAAATATTAAATTTATGTTTACTATTATATCAGTGGATTAAATAAATTAATAAAAAGGAAAACTAGTCTTTTAGTCCTTGAAGTTGACTCACTTATAATTCAGTCTTTGGATTTTGATTTAGTATAACTCATTCCTTGAACTTTTGATTCACTTGTAACTTAGTCCCTAATCTTTTTGAGGTATCATCTTACGTCACAAAAAATATTAATAATACTGTTAAAAATTGCTTACATGCCCTCCAAATCAGCTCCACATGGATTTTACATAAACTTTTTGGAAAATAAGACAAACCTGACAACACCTTCATCTTCGACAAAGGCTTTAACCTTCCACTTCTGTTTTTCAAATTCTTGTTAGGCAGCCTCAGCATCCATGACAGATCCTTTGTTCCTATTCTTACTCTTAAAATCCAAAGTTCTGCATACTATTCAGTTCAAGGATGGCAAAATACAAAGGCAAAAGCAAAAGCTTCTTCAAACTTCTTGTTTTGAGTACACTTCTTCTCACTGCTTGCCTAGTATTCTTGGGGGCTTCAATATGTTCAAGTGTTGCTAGGACCTTGAGGAGGAGAAGAGTTAGAGACACTGAAAGAGAGATCATGGAGAGAGCACTTACATGTAGGGTGAGATGATGTCCTTTGCTGGTCGCTGGTGATTCTGAAGGACCTATCATGGATGCCGAGAAAGCCCAGCAAGAATGTGTAAAACAGAGGTGGACAGTTGAAGGCCTCTTGGAAGATGTTATGGAAAATGAAGGTGCTGTTAGGTTGTCTTATTTTTTGAAGAAAATAGGAAGAAATAATCAGTTGAGTAATTGAGGCTTAGCTTCAAAGCTTCATTGATGTATTTGCTTGATACATATGGTAAAAATAAAGGATAAAGCCCAAAGATAAAACCTAATATATTGAAATTGAAATCTAAATCAGGGTTAAAAGAAATCTTATCTAATCTAATTCATTCTAATTTAAATGATACATAAAATAATTAATAAAGCACTAGATTAAAATCTAATTAATTGGGCCCTACTAAGCGGGCTTAGGCCTTCATCTTTCAACATTTTTCAAAAAATTTATGTAAAATCCACATGGAGCTGATTTGAAGGGCATGTGAACAATTTTAACAGTATTATTAATATTTTCCCCACATAAGATGACTCAAAAAGATAAGGGACTGAGTTATACCGAGTTAAAAGTTTATAGTGAAATGGAATATAGAAAAAGGAATTTTTTTGAAGCGATGACTGAAGTAATTTTATCAGAAAGAGGAGCACATCTTGTTGGAGGATAAGCTACTTATAACCTGCAATACGAGAAAAAGCTCAAAAATGAATAAATTAACAAAATTTCTATCAAAATGTTGATGAAGTTATGGGCCCCTACATTTAATGATTAAGATTAGCTAACGCCAAATCCCCAAGATTATGGCAGATTTGATTTCTTTTAATTTTTTTTTTGAATTCATCCCATTTAATTCTGATTTACCTTGATTATGTAATCTCTAGTGATCCTAGAATCTTCCTATGCTATCTATAAATATTGTATCCTACTAGTCGAATAAAACATAGCATTTTGGCATCAAGCTGTTCATGGTATCAGAGCAGAGATGAAGTTCGGCTTCGGGCTGGATGATGAAGGCCAGGGTGGTTCACACCCCATCGGCGCACAACACATCAACAGTGCCGACGAACCACTAGGCGCCAAACGATGCCACTCCCTCCCAGATTACTATTCATCGCCTAAACGGACAAAATTAGCTCCAATGGGCAGCGAGTGTCCGACTCTTTGTGACTGGAAGAGGAAAATTTGGGCACTTGAATGTGATTATAACAAGGCCTAAGCTTATAGGCTCAAAGCATAGTACCTGGGAGGTAGAGGGCTCGATGATTAAGTCATGGTTGATCAACTCAAGACCATGGAGATTAGCACCAACTTCAACTTTGTTCAAGTCTGCTCGAGAAGTCTAGGAAGGAGCACGTGATATGTTCGCCTCTCTAAACAAACCATGCAGCAATTCTGGAAATTGAGTCAAACCTAGACAGACTCACCAAAGGTAATTTAAATATGACAGAATATTGGACTAACTTGATGACTCTTTGGCAGCAACTAGATCAGTATGATACATACGAATGGTCATGCACGTTAGATGCAAAACTATATGCCAAGATCAAGGAGGAGAAGCGAATTTAAAAATTCCTCCTCAAAAACTCATCTTCTCATGATGAAATAAGAGGGCGAATCATAAGCCAAGAGAAGCTGCCAAGCCTACGAGAGGTGTTTTTCATGGCCAAACAAGGGAGTAGGAAGAGGCTCAATAATCCGAAACAACCAGCAAGCATTGGATCTGAATCAAGTGCCTTTTTGACCAAAGGAAGAAAGAACAGAAAGTGGTGTGATCATTGTCAAAGACCTGGACATACCCAGGAGGTCTGTTGGAAATTGCATGGAAAGCCACCTAAACAAAAAGGGAAAGGCAAACCTGAGCCACGAGCTCATGCAACAAACGTGGATTCCAAAGATGAATCGGGGGACAAACTAACCAAGGAAGAACTGGAATTTCTCAAAAAATTGTTAGAAAAGCATAATACTAAGGAGTAATTAGTTGCTACAGGTAATGTAGCCTACACAGGTAATACTGTCCTTGCCTTAAAAGTAAATGTTCACAATGATCAAATGTGGATTGTAGGCTTTGGAGCTATTGACCATATGTCTGGTAATATCGATCTCCTCCAAAATGTTAAACCATGGAATCTCTCATAAAGGTTGATGGGAAATTTATTAAGGTTCATAGGATTGGTGAAGTTTGCTTGTTTGGGGATGTTATACTAAAAAATGTGCTATATGCACCAGATTTGAAATGCAATTTAATCTCTCTTAGTAAAGCCATTGTTTCACAAGGCTGTGACATCAACTTTTCTGCCTCTTCATGTTTATTTCAGGACTTGGAGTTGGGAAAGAGGATTGGCACAACTAGGTTACTAGAGGGACTTTATTGCGTAGACCATCACTCAAGGAAGCAAAATAAGGCATATTCTAGAACATATGTAGCAGAAAAAAGATCAGTGACTCAATTTTTGAATAATGAAGCTTTGTTATGGCACTATAGGTTAGGCCATCCCAGCTTTAAATATATGTTCAGATTGTTCCCAAATTCAATCAATAAAAATATTTGTTCTATTCCTCGTGAGGTGTGCCAACTCTCTAAACACACCAAGAACAATTACAAAGCACATCCTCACCAGTATACTCATCTTTTTTCTCCTGTGCATAGTGACATGTGGGGCCATGTTCGCATTCTCACATTAACAAATGCCAAATGGTTTGTAACACTAATTGATGGTCACACACGGGTTACATGGGTATTTCTCATGAAAGAAAAATCTGACCTTACTCAAGTTATCATAAACTTCCACAAAATGATCAAAACCTAGTTTGATACTTCCATATAGGGGTGAGTATTCAGTTTTTTCGGTTTGGTTATCGGTAATAACCGAATTAACCAAATAGAGTAAATTTTAAACATCGAACCGAAACCGAATTAACCGGAAATTTCGGTTCGGTTACCGATTAACCGAAATATATAAATATGAAAATGATATTAAATTAAAAATAATAA